TTTTCAAAATAAGCTCAATCTTTGACAATTTTTGTGGATGCCAGCTGTAAATGACTTCATAAAATCAATATTAGTTACCTGGATTTAGTTAAGCAATAAGTTTTTAACATTTTGGTACCAAAAGATCCAAGTAGGGGTCTCTGCAGAACGTGTTGGCCTGTGGGCAGAGACGGCCCAAATCGTCATTGGCCGAGGTCTTAATGTGGGCGGAGATGGCCCTACTCGTGATCGGCGGAGGTCTTGATATGGGCGGAGATGGCCCGAGACGTGATTGGTCGGATTGACGGTGGGGTTTGAGGCTGGAGGCAGCGAGCAGCAATGGCGGGGAGTGACTTGGTCGAGTCGGGAAGGAAGTAATGCCCCTTTTCCACTAGTGCCACTTAGTGTAGTGTCGGTATGGTTCAGTACGGTTCCAAGCCATTTCCATTAGGCCAGATCAATGGAACCAGCACTTTTTTTAGTACCTACTTCACTGTGGTTCCAACCGGCCCCAGATGACACCAAAATGTGACGTCAGAACACGGTTCATCACTGATTGGCTAAATTTTTGCAAATGTTTAAAATTTCAAAAATTATTCATCAAATATGTTTCCATCTCTCATTTTGGCCATAATTTTTTTTTCAAAATACCTAAAAACCACCTCCACCAACCGCCCAAAACACACCTATTGGAACCGGACTGGAACATCAGTGGAAAACCAACCGGTCCGACCCATATCTACACCGACTGCTCCAACACTACACTAAGTGGTAGTAGTGGAAAGGGGGCATTACATGTTTTTTTAATGTATTTTAGTCATAACTTGAGAAAGGAAAGTGCTACCTGCACAAAATTTTAAAGTCTTACATGTGAAAGGATGTGTAATAATATGGCTTGGTCAAAACATCCCTAACCAGCCTGTAAAAAAATAATGATTTTTAGCTATTTTTTTACAGGCTTGTTAGGGACGTTTTAACCAAGCCATATTGTTACACATCCTTTCACATGTATGGCGTTCAAATTTCGTGCAGGTAGCCCTTTTTTTCTCAAGTTATGACTAAAATTAATCTTAAAAACATGTTGCTTCCTGCCCGACTCGATCAAGCAGCTACTCCCCGCACCGTCAATCCGACCAATCACGTGTCGGGCCATCTCTGCCCACATCAAGACCTCGGCCAATGACGATTTGGGCCGTCTCCGCCCACAGGAGAAAACCTACTGCAGAGACCCCTTACTCAAAAAATCAGATCTGAAGCAAAAGATCTGGCAATTATGGTCAGAAATTATATAGCCACAGTCAAAGCCATGATTTTTAGCACTAATCTTGAATTCTGACTTTGTGTCCGGGAGAAATTTTGTAAGAAATGTTTTTTTGTATACCTGCAAGGGATGTAGTTTAATGGGTACCATCAAAATTGCTGGTACTTTTTATGCAGATAAACATTGTATATCTCTTAGACTACAATCCAGGGGTCTGCAACCCGTGGTTTCGGGTAAGCAAGTGGTTCTTTGAAACTCACACATAAATGACTTTAATCACTTTAATTAAAGTGTATCTTACACCCCCGCCACCCCCCCCACCC